TTTCACAACATGAATTTTGGTGATTTCTTCATAGAGACATTTAATATCAACAATTAATGAGTTTTTTACATTCGTAATTTCTTAAGGCCTGGAGAGACCAGACAGACAATCACTATAAATTGATATTTTATAATTTATAAATAAGTTATCCCTTATCCATCTCAAAGCATAAAAAATAGCTGTCAATTCTGCCTGGAACACTGAATTAAAATTTTCCAATTTAATTTTATCATTGTAAATTTCAGTGCCATAGTAATATACAACATAAGAAAACCTATCTTACTATCGATTCCAGAACCATCTAAAAATGTCAATTTCACCAAATTCAACAAAATGAAATTCATAATCAATAATAACTCTTTCAGCAGGGTGTATACAATAAGGATCTAAGTTATAAAAAGCAGTACAACAAGCAAAAAATTCCTCATAATGAATAAAATCAATCTTATTAGTAGATAATAAAAATTTATCGTAATAATACCTATAAAATATAGAAAGAGGCGGTGTGCCGGCCAAGATGCAGAGAATTTCGGATGGAGTAGTTTTGAAACACCTAGTCAGTGACAGGGGCCACGGCCCGCTGAATTGTTAATAACTTATTCTTTGGAGTTCCGCCGCCCTAGATCCCCAACTACCTATTCCATACATTATTATAGGTATGATAACAGCATTATAAATCATTCTGAGTATATTTCTTTTAGTAATCAATATTTGTTTTGGAAAATTTCTTTTATAAAATAATAAAATTGCATCAGATTTCTTCTGAATTTCTTTAAAATGAAGTTCGAAATTCAATTTATCATCTATAATTACACCTAAATATTTCATGTGATCTACTCTTTTCAACAGGGTACCATAAAATCTTAGTCTGGGTGGTCTAGTATTTTTGCCGGCCTTAGGGAAAAACATATATGAAGCCTTTCGCAAATTAAAAATCAACTTCTCATCCTCGGCCCAGTTCTTTAGAATATCACTCACCAGTTGAAAACGCTGTTCTAATTTTTCTAAAGATACATCATATATTACATATAAAATATCGTCTGCATAGCAGATCACATTTACGTATTCAGGAAGAGAAACATTTAATAACTTAAAAATAACGGCGCTCCAGAGCAGCGGAGCACTAGGCGAGCCCTGAGGGCATCCTTTATACACATTTTTAAAAATTTTAAAATCAGCATCATAAGAAAATACAACTTTTCTGTTATTAAAATAATTACACAAAAATTGCAAAAATATTTTTAGGTATTTTAAAATTCTCAAGGGTGGAAGAGCAATGAATTCCATATAACAGAATCAAAAGCCTTTGAAACGTCGAAAGAAACAATTATCACATGAAAATCTTTCTTCTTTTGAACTATAGTGTTTGTTAAATCATAAAGTGCATCATTTGTTGACCTTCCCGAAAACAAAACCGAACTGTCTATTTGAAATAAAATTATTCTCCAAGAAAAAAAGATATAACCTATTGGTAAGCAATTTGTCCAGAACTTTTCCAAAGAATTTCAATAAACAAATAGGTCTATCTGCCTGGTCACCCTTTGGAATGAATATTACTCTTGAGATCTTCCACACTCCCGGAAAAATCGACAAACTAAAACATTTATTATAAAGTAGAACGAAAAATTTCTCAAAATTTTTAAATAAACATTTAACCATAACAGCATGTATACAGTCAATTCCAGGAGCACTTTTATTTCTCAATTTTCCCACAACATAACGAATCTCATCTATAGAAAATAAAACATCATCAGCACCACAGTTTGGAGATGTTAAAAGTTCATCTTCAACAATACCATCCTCAGGATTTCCACAATCAAATTTTTCCATAAAATAATATCTAATAACATCAGAAAATTCATCAGTACTCTGCTCATCTTTCCTTATAATCATTTGGGAAGGTCTAGATTTACGTAGTGCCAATCGAAAGTAGCAATCATAGTAGTCTTTATTATCCAAAAAAATGCTTCACCTTATATTCATATTTTGTCTTTTTAATCTTTTTTCGATAGAGAGCCATCTCCTTTTTATATGATATTTTCCTTTCTCTTCGAGTGTCTTCATCAATTTGTCTAACTTGATAATGTTTTCTTAAAGCCCTTAATCTTCGTTTACATCTCTGTAAATCAGCGTTCCACCAATATGTCATCTCTACTTTCCTTTTACGTAAAATTAGATGTTTCTTAGCATTCTTTACTATTAAGTTTTCAAATTCCTCAACAAATTCATCAAGGATAACAGGATCATAAATTCCATCCAATCTTTTTCTCATCCGATTTATATTTGGTCTTAGTTTTCTGCAAAATTTATTCAGTCTATAAATATTCTTTGTGAACACAATATTTTTATAATATATTGGCTGGACATCACAGATTTCAAAGGAGACATATACCGGTGTTCGCTTAAACTTTCCTCTTCATAAATCTTCAGTTCGGTATTAAATGTCGATAGTGAGGAAGAACCTAGGACTAAATCTGTCCTACCCTCCCCAACAGCAGATACAAAAGTTGGTAAAGAGTCCATTTGATTAAATAAAATCATATCATGCTGTATTATAAAATCCATAGTTAAAGATCCCCGATTACCAACTATTTTGCCCCCCCCAGCTAAAATTTTTGGAATTAAAATCACCAATAATAATAAAATACTTATACATTTCCAAAACTTGTTCCAACCTTGTTAAATGTAAATGTAAATTTTCTGCAGGGGAGAAATAAACGGACACAATTCCTAAAACAAACTGATCCATCCTTAAAGAAATGGCTATAATTTCATTCATTTTACAATCGACAATAAATTCACTTTCATCATTTGTGACAATAATGGCTGATCTGCCTTTCTCATCATATACCGCTCTCCACCCTTTATTTAAATATGGCATCTTATCATTTATAAAATAAGGCTCTTGCACTGCAATCAAATCAAAATTTTTATCTAAAATATTTTCAACTGCGGCCAACTGGCAAGCTGTCACCGCACAATGATTCAGATTAATATTTAATATTTTCATATCCAAGGGAATAATAAAAAATAAAACAATTACAAATATAAAATTACATGCCATAAAAACAGATAAAGCAGTTAAAATAATAACAAGCACAGAAAAAACAGCCCAATCGCAGTTATAATTAATTAAAATCCAAAACAATACTATTCCAATATACGCAAACGTTCAGAAATAAATTTAATCCCACGCTTATAAAGTTCACAATCCTTTGTCAAAACATAATGATTCACATCAAAACGAGTACCATATTTCAAATTCGAATCCTTACAGTTAGCACATATTTCCTTTTCTTTAATACAATTTCTAACTACATGAGATTCTGAACACTTGATACAAGTAACATAATTTTTACAGTGTTTAGTGGTGTGTCCAAATTTGAAGCAACGTAAACATCTCTTTGGCCTAAGATAAAGTTTTGCTACATAGGCCTTCCATCCAACACGAACTCTGTTATCCTCTAAAACTGAGGATCACTAGGGATCTACACGAAAAACTCTATGAGTAACTTCACTTGATTCTTTACATTTTATCCTAAATAATGGACGCGCACAGTCGCCGGAACAACCACACTCACTCCTCATTTTATCATCTTCTACATAGTTGCACACATTATACACAATAAGTTTTGGCTGTATAAATCTTTTTTTCTGTGTATACAACTTATCTTTTAAATTTTCTTTAGAATCAATAACATTTTGAACCATATCAACTTGTTTACTCTCTTTAAATCTCATAACTAAATCACCGTTTCTTTTAACAAAAGAACTCATAATCTGTGCATCTATATCATCAGGTTTTACATTCACAATTAATTCATCATAGACATCAATTCCAGGCATCGCTGGTCTAACAACTAATTCATTTTCTTTCCAATTCTTATTATCCATAAATCTATTCTTTTTATTCTCTTGTTTATGTCGATTTTCCCGAAGAGTACTTTTAATCTCATCAATGCCTTGCTTAATGTCCAATAAAACATCCGTTTTCGAATGTATAAAATTATCTTCAATACTTCTTAAATTCTGTGCAACAAGTAATTCAACAACTTTGTCGATTCCCCCTGCCAATCCTTCAGTAATCTCACGTGAGACCCTTCTAACTTTTAATTTCTCAACAAATTCATAGAGGGCCCTAACAGCAGAAAGGACGCTTCCCAATTTCTCATCGTCATTTAATTTTTCATTATCACAATCCATCTTTTCTTTCGTTATATCAGAACCATCTAATATTTCACTATCAACACCTGTAAATTCTTTCTCAACGTCATCTTTCAGTCGACTCATTATAACAAAATAAATAAATATCAAGATTACAATACTGCGACAGGGCTGTATATAAAATATTCAGAGTTAAAACATATTTACAAATCTAAAATACAAAGTAAATATATTTAAAAACAATAAAAATCACAAAAATGGTCTGTATCACACAAAATTCAAGTCTGCAATCTTTTAAAATTCCCAAAACAGCAGAAAAAACATTAAATTTTAAAATATAAATGTTCTGTGCAAAATAAATAAATCGACCAACGGGCCAAAAACCACACTCAATAATGCACCAAAAGATCGATGAGTTATTCCCGGTAATATTCATAAACTCAGATCAAGTTTTTATCAACTGGCTTAAAGTCTTAAGTAGGAAGTGCAAAATACGAAGCCTTCAAAGGTAAACAAATAACGGCCACATTAAGCCTAACGTCACTCAAAAAGTTTAAGTGCAAATATTAAATTAAATATTCAATCAATCACTATGCTTTTAACCATCGACTTAAAGTAAATAATAAAAGAGTCTAAAGCATAAATCAGAAATCATTTGCGCAGTAAATCCATGAAATAATAAGCAAAAATCTATTCATCGTATGCTAATGATCCGGCTAGCACTCGCAGAAATTCAGAGTCCATGAATCTTCAAAAATACGACTTCTAATTCGAAATAAAGTTATAAAACACAGATCGGAACACAAAACAAGTCAGAAAAATGCACTTTCACTCACTTAATTCAAATATTTACCAAGATATCATCCTAGGCCAGTTATGTTTTTGACTCTTTTCTTTATATTCATGACTTTCATTTTTATATTATGTATTTCTTATACTTGCATGTTAATTTTACTTGAATTGAGCCGGAACACAGCTGATTAATTACACTAGCTACTCTGGGCATAATAAAGTCATGTCATGTCATGTTATAAAATGAATGAAATATAACGCTGTTAAGTGAACCTCGCGCCAGAGTGTCGCTATGGTAAACAAATGTAGTGTATTTTAAAGAGTGCATTTATTCTATTGTGGTTTATGCGCTGTCGATGAAATAGATTTTATTCAATCCAATAAGTTTAAATGAAATGCAAGAAAGAATGCGTATAATTTAATATTGCGTACAAGGAAGTCGTGGTGTACACATCAGTTTTTTTCTCTTGTGTTCTTGGGTATTACTTTTCATATTGCAATTGTTTCAAAAATCTATTATGTATTTTAAAATTCAATAACATATTATGTATTTTAAAAATATGTTTATTATTGATTTATTATAATTGAATTTTTTATATTAAATTTTAAATAATTGGATTTTAAAATACATAAAAAAATTTGTGCATTTTTAATGTATTTAATATATTTAAATTTTGTTATGTTTAACAACGTACTTAAATTTTTTGTGTGGTTTCTTCCTTGTTGTATGATATAGCTTCATAAAGATAATGATTAATTATCAATTTTTTTATAAATTGCTTTCTAATCAATGAGATTTTGATTATTTCGATCGGTTTTATCTCTGCATATTCTACTATTAATACTCTGATCATCATTGACTCCTTTAAAATTTCACTGACCCCTACAGGGTCAACCAACACCGTTGGGAACCCCTGCTTTAGCTAAATCTACTAAAACATGGGTCATTTACAGCCTTACATTTACTGTGTATAAATTATATAAGCAAAATTTGTGCCCGCTGCTGTTTTTTTTTTTCCCTCCTTTTTTTCGCTCAGACGCAGCTGTTTCCTGTGTTGCTAAAGTGAAGCAGAGTATCCTCATAAAAATGTTTTTTTCTTTTCTGTTAAACTTCCTGTGTGTCCGTTTTCGTTACATTTTTATCTTTTCATAACAGACTATTATGCATTTTTACTACTAAAAACAGCGTGTTTCAAAAGAGAAATGCGCAGTATGCCGTTTCCGTACATTTCAGATTTTTTCGTAATATGCTTAAAGTGAACTTTTGAAAACTGTCAAGTTAAAGAAACCAAAGTACATTTTGATAAATTCCTCTTCAAACAAGTAATTTTTCTGTATCAAATATTATTTATATTATTTTTTCAATTTTTAATTTTTTAGGTTATGAAACATGGAACGATGTCCGAATATGTTCTTCTGCTTACCCAAAATACTTTCTGAGGAGAATAAAATAATAATGCTAACTTCAAAATTGTTATTTAATGCCACTGATAAACAAAATTTTGAGATTTTCTTGATTTTTCTGACTGTATCTGAAATGTTATATTAAAATGTTCACAGATATTCATTAAAGAATTTTGTGTCATTTCATTCCTTCTCTATTCTAACTCATAATTATTTACTGTGATCAGCCTCAGTTATCTATAACCCTTCGAGTGTTTAAAATTTTAAATCCCATAAAAATATTTTAATAAACGGCTTTATTTTTTAAGTAAATGATTTCATATTTATATAAAAATTTTAATGTTAGGAAAGAACAGCTAGAAAAGCTTTTTTTTTTTTTTTTTTTTTTTTTTTTTTTTTTTTTTTTTTTTCTGTTTCTTACCTCAGTATTATTTCTCGAAATTATTTATTAATTTTAATAATTTTAAATTTTACAAATTTATGTCGGCGATATATCACTATTATTTTCGTCTCGTTGTGGCTGATTTTTATTCTTTGTATATGATCTAATTGAATGCCAGATTAAAATCGGTTACAAATCCGCCATTCGCAAAGCTTTTATGGCCTGTACAACAAATATTGTTAGTAATGCATTTTTCAAACGCAATGTAATTCCTTTGTAGATTAATTTCAGTTAGTCTGTTATTTGGCCGTAAATTAAAGAGCCAATTTTTCTGCTTTTAGTGGTATAAATTAATAATGGTTGAACTCAAATTAAGTAATATAAAATCAAGATTATTACGTAAAAAATCACCCGATTCTATTGTGTGTTTCAGCGCGTTTACAAGTAACGAGTGAAAAGAACGTACCAATCCTTTCGTACCAAAACCCCAAATAAAAATTAAACAAACTTAGCACAGATATTAAATAAAAATACTCGTTGTGTAGCATAAATTTAGAATATTAATAAATTAATTTTTAATGAGTTGTAATTTAAATAACTAAGTGAATTTGCTACCTTGCTACACAACAAAGGTACGATGAGTGCTCAGTTGCACTACAAATATCAAATGATCGGCTATGAGCTGATAACATTCATGTTAAGGAATGTAGAAATTGCTGAAACTATTGCATAAACTAAGCTGTATTTTGCATCATAGAAAAGCTACTAAATACTAGATTGTTCGTCAGGCTCAAGAATTTATTTTTCAGTTTTGTAATTCAAACCCTTCAGAGAAGTTATTCGAGAATTAGCAGAAAATGAAAAGCTTAGCTGAAATTCAGACTGGCAGCAAATACGCTTTTGGAAATTCGAGGGGTTTTGCCTGAAATAACATACTAAAAATTTGAAGAGGACGCAGTTGTCAAGATAGAAAGAGACGTATATTACGGAAAGAAAGTAAAATAAAATATCGAAATTGCTTTACGCTCACGTCAGTTAAATTAGAAATGGATGTTCGAAGCGATAGTAGCCTACCAGAAGACCGTGTAAAATGCTCTCAAATACGGTGTGAATAGAGCATTGTTTGTATAGATCCAATATCCCATATTACGTGTTCCATAAATGGAATTCTATAGCGATTCTTTCTTTAGCTTTTTTTTTCTATCAGAGGGTTGTGAGAAACTTTTATGAATGCAAACTGAAAAGAGTGCTCGCATTATCTGTGTAAAATTAATATTAAATTTATATTTCAATTTGTATGGCTGTAAAGATTAAGATGGCTCAAAATAAGCAACTGATTATTTTGCATTCAATATTTTCAAACTAAATTTGATTTAGTTGAAGAATCAGTAAAACCCTTACAGATTCCATGATCATCAAGCATTAAAAAAGAAGGAGGGAACTGAAGTGTGAGAGATATAAGAAAGCTAAAGTTTTAAGACAAAATTGATCATGATTATTTGAAATGTGATTTTATACAGGAAACTGAAATTGATCTACGACAGTTTTGTGACATATGTTCTGTGAGTCTATCCAATGATGCCATGAAATCATCAAAAATTATCTGTCATTTGCTGGCTAAACATTCAGGTTTAGCTAATAAGCCTGTCAAAGACTCCTCGATAATTTACAAAATGAAACAATGGCAAAAAAACTGACAAATCAATATACGTATGTATTAATAGTTTTGTAGAACTGCAGAGGATCAGTTAAACCTTGCTTATTAGAACCCCGTGAAAAGTTCTCAGGAATCAAGCAGTCCTATATAAAAAGCAATGTCTATATCTGCTAGATCAGTGAAACGCATATAAAGAAATTGGTCGAAGATGTTATTGTAGTAGAAATAATCGAAAATGCCAAATTTTATGTAACTGTGGGGGGACTTGATGAATCAAAAGACACAAAAACCATTCTTGTATGTTACACACCTACTTATGTGAAAACACATTCTCAAATGTAATAGCCATTAAAAACATGTATCGGTCTCAGCTTGACTTTGACGTTCCTTTATGTGTACGATAACATCATTGGATCTAAGATCTAGGAAAATAATTTTAAACCAAAAAGCAAATAATGAATTACTTCTTAAAGCACATTATACTATTTTTTGCTACTCTTTTTTTGTTACCACCAAATAAATGCAATAAAAATTATTATTATACAAATAAATATACGTCTATTATACTCAATGCTCGTAAATACACTGGTCACCAAAATTAAAAGATAATGAGGAAAAACAAAAATGCTCACTAAGACAATGTTGCAACCACTGCCCAACGATGTAATTATTTATGTTAATGAAACGCAACTAAACATGAAATTGCAATTCCTCGCTGGAATTCCGGTCTGTAGTGTTGTTTAAAACGAATGTGGCTTCTGAGAGTGATTCGTATTAAGTAGTTATGGCTCAAATGTATCATTCAATTGAAGTTCAAAAGTGGCGAATAAATGGTTGAATTAACGGAGGTCAAGCACAAATGGAAGTCACCTAAGATTCCAATAACCCTCAAAGTGTTTTATCAAGAACTTGGAGCCGCTTTTAAGCACTGGAACAGTTGGTATAACAACCTGGTCAAGAGCGACCAAGAGCAATTTCATCAGAAGACAGTTTTCTGTCGTTGTTGGCTCAAAGATATCGCGAAGTGACTACAGTCAGTACCTCCTACATACAAAGCCAGGACACGGCTGACACTACGTCACTAAAGTCGTCCTTATCTACAGACAGCATGGTTGCCACATGAAGCCACTTATCGCTGTTATTCCCTTAAGACAAGAGAAAATGAAACGTAGTCCCCCCTTGCAGAAGGCTTACATCATTTGGTTTTAAATAAATAAATATGTATATCCGATTTGCCCTTCATCGACTGCATTTCCTAATTTCAAATACGTATACGTTCAAATACTTTTCTTAAATAATTTTACACTTAAAATAATAAAACACAAAATGATTTAACATACTTCAGATGGTGGTAATAAAATACATGTTTTTAAGATCTGGCTGTTGCTGGTTTGTTTTTTGAATATATATTTTACTAGATATCCTCTTCCTTAATAAAAGAGGCAACAATAATGCATAATGATAAGTAGACAGTTGATTAAAACTAAAAAAGGACCACAAAAATGTACGTCAATTGGTTCTTCCGAAAATGACGGTCCCACTTCACTGACATTATTCTGAATTTTTTTTTTTTTTTTTTTTTTTTTTTTTTTTTTTTTTTTAATTTTCTAAAAGAATGTTTCTAGCAAATTCAGTAAAATCGATTTATGCTCGTTTTGAAAGCAACCGATCAAGCAAGCTCGAAAGCTGAATCTACTTTTCAAGCATCCCAAGTGGCCTGACTCCTTAAA